ACCGGCAAACAACATAACACCAACTACGCCACAACACACTGATGTTGTGAGACTCACTCTCAGCTGCCTGTGTAGCGGTGTCAGACGGGTGAGGGGAAAAGTAGGTGAACTCAGAAACCTTAAGTCATAGCTAAACTATAAAATAATAGTCTTGAATAGACTTTGTAAACCCCACTATTGCAGAAAACGAAATCATTAAAAGTGATGTGGTTCTTGTCAGTAGAGGTAGGGATATGGAGGAAGTGGGGAGATGCCATATATTTTGACAGGCTACTTAGATACGTGCGTTTAAAGGACCCACCACATAGTGAAATCCCAGACTCCATATGGTGTCATTTCATGGTAGGCCACACCAAGCACTTACTGGGTGGCACCTACCAATCACCCACCTATGGAGCAGGACACAACCAGCTGCTGCTCAGCACCATCACAGAGATATGGGACTTGGGCTATAACTAGATCACCATAGCTAAAGATTTCAATGCCCCATCACTGAACCTTGACTCTGGGTATGCTCAGGGAAAATTCCGTCGAAATCTAGTGCGAACCATCCAAAATACCGGATTGACTGGTAAGACCGGAGACCACACTATGTGGAGCCCTAGTGGAATGTCATCGAAACTGGGTTGTGCCACAACTGGTGGCCTGTCACTAGTCGAAAACTTCTTAATCATAACCCCCCTAGGGAGCAGCGACCATGCAGTCATAGTGTATGGTCTTGCTCTTCGTAAGCGCTTACTGTGAGGCTCTAAGCGCCCACGTCTGTGCTATAATAAAGCTGACAATGCCAAAGTGCGAAGGCTATTTTCCGACTCAGAATGACCAGTAGACTGGGCTGAGTTATATGTGGGTGAACACTGGGAAGTGGGAAGGGAGATTATTCAGACGGTAGTCTCAGATACCGTCCCTTTAGACACGATACAGCCAAAAATAGGTCATCATGGCTGAAGAGAAGTACGCAAAGTATTCCGCAGGTAGAGCAGAAGACTCGGTCTACGTGGAGCGTATCCAAGAGCCAGACCGACCACGATGTATACCCGGATCCTAGGAACCGGTGCAACACAAAAGTCAGGAGTGAAAGGAGCTCATTTCAGACTAACGTTGCTGAAAATTCCTGGCAAACACCAAAAGCTAGTATCGATTCATGCCGGAAAGAAAACCAACCATGGGGGCATGCGCCTCACTGGGTCCAAACGGTCAACATTTCACTAGTCTGGAGATAGCTGAAGCATTCAGTTTAGCCTTCGCCAAACAGTTAAACAGCAGTTAGGGTACTACCAGTATAAGTCAATATGGCTGTACTGCTGTATTACCGAAGGAAAACCCAGTGGCTACGCGCCAAATAAACCGTACACTGCTCTTAGGGAGGTTACAGACCAGTAGCCCTACTGCTAGTGGTATCAAAAGTACTGGAAAGTGTTATTGATGATTAAATCAGGGAGCACCTCTATAGGGCTAACATACCCCATGAAGTCCAGCATGGTTTCAGGAAAGGCAGACCCTGTGTTACTAACCTACTATCAGCTTAAGACGATTGGACATCATTCTGGGATATGAATATTCCAGTCCATGTGATCTTCCTAGACTTTGAGAAGGCATTTGACACTGTTCACCATGACCTTCTCCTACACAAAATAAGCCAGGTAGGTATAGGTAAACCACTTCTGTCATGGTTAATGGACTACCTAGCTGAAAGGAAATTCTGCACTAAGGTCAATCGAGCCCGATCATCCTGGCACAGCTCGTCATCAGATTTGTCACAGGGCTCTGTCCTAGAGCCGCTGATGTTTTAATTTTTATCAGTGATCTACAATGCCATCTAAGTTGCTCGACTCTTCTTTGCGCTGAAAACGTGAAGATTTGGAGAGCATTAAAGTGTTCAGAAGACTCAAATAGTCTACAGGTAAAACTAAAGGTCTTGGAAGACTGGGCGGTGGCGAATGGCATGACTTTCAACATGAAAAAGTGAAGGGTAGTGAAATTACGCGACTGTAGGCTGTAGAATGCAAGTTACGCCCTGTTCAATGAAAGCTTGTCCTGCACTACGTCGGAGTGTGACTTGAGTGTAGTTATGACGGAGGAAATGGACACAAGCGTGAACTAAATAGGGATGTAGCGAGGGCATACGCGGTCACACACTTTAAATATAGACAGCTAGGTGCGCCCACTCCTGAGCTCTTTCTAAGGTTTTCCAAATTTACGTAAGATTACACCTTGAGGTGAACAACATAACTAAACCCATGCAGCTTCGATAGTGTCCAAAGAGAGGCAACAAAAGAGTGGTAGGTCTCCGAAACAAACCGTATGATAAACGGTTAAATAAATTACGTCTTTTTACACTTGGCTACCGTCGGCCTAGGGGGGACTTAATTGCTACCAGTAGGATCCAAATGACCAGAATCACACGAATAAGGTTGAAGCGTTGGTGGTTCAGCGGTAGAATGCTCGCCTACCACCCATAAGGCCCGGAGTTCGATCCCCGGCCTACGCACTCCTTTACCCCGTTAAGCCGATAACAGGATCTGTAAAGAGGAAAGGTTGGGCATGGAGCTAGCAACCACACTCAGTAAACAGAAACACGACTGCTACGGAAACTTCACAGCTCCACTGGGAATGTAAAGGAATGGAATTAATTATTAAATGAGTAAATTGGTTACATCTAATCTCGGTTTTCGTACTCTCCTAACTACTTCAATTATGATGACCCTTATACTTAATATTAATGTATACACAAATATATATATATATATCAGTTTCGGATTTCATTAGCTGTTTATTCTCACCTTCTCTTCCATTTTAAGTCTACATAACCTAAACTGTTATTATTATTTTTGTCTTTTTTTCAACCACACCGAACGACTGACAGGTGAAAGGATCAACTCTATTCACGGTCTTAACACACTACAAACAACTAAAAACTAACCCCAGCACCACTCTTTTGGGAGTCGACCAAAGCTACGACAGTCGAGTGGCGGGAAGAACTATGCAGGAGTTTACCGAAGACCAAGAACTTTTACCTCACAACCAAGAAGCTAGCACAAAGAAATCAAATTGGTTTACACTAACAAGCCAGTATTAACGACATTGGAGTCAGCTTTTTAAGAAGTTCTAAGTTAATGACCTCCTCTGATTCAATTAAAATGTGCGAAACACAAGACCGTTTAAAATGCCTGGACTGTTAATTTACAATATGCGAACATAGTGGATTTAATGTGCATTATTGGAAATAAATAGATCATTCAATTTCTCGAAAACCTGGTGGCGGTTAGTTTCACAGTGCCTCACTAAGTAACGACATTAAATACTGAGGGGACTCCTCACCAACCAACCTTATTTTTCACCGATCAACACAGTCATTATTCCTTCGAATTCCTCTATATGGGACAAAATTAAAACATTCGCCACTCTTCCTAATGGCATCAACTGTTGCGTAAGTCGTTTCTGTTCACAAAAGTTCTACCTTAACAGTTGGAAAAAAACAGCTTCTGATGTCTCATAAACTGCTGTTTTTATATGAAAAGTGGAAAACCTCTGATGTTAACTAACGGTACTGACTGGACAAATAGGAATGAAGAAAGATGCTGGACGTCTGTATAAGGGTAAGTGGTTTTGTACGCCTCAGCAATATACATTGTGCAGCACAACCTTGGTAGTTTTGGTTTTCATCAAATAGAGCCAAAGAGATTTCTATCCCGACTGTGTGATCAGCAGCAATCTAATCACCTCTTACTTCAGAGATAGAAATCGATTTTACAATACAAAAGTAGAATTAACGGCAACTCGTTCAGGAAGACACTGTCTAGGCAGTGAACCAAGAGAGGTGACCTAAAGTGTTGAGTTGAGTAACATATTTGAAATTTCTGTTACGAACCTCAAAACCATTAAGTGAACAAACGTTTACTCCTAGCATGAAGCCGCTAAATAGAGAAAGAATCGAGGACCTTTGTTAAAATAATCAGTCAGTTAGTTGTACCACAGTAATGTATAATCATAACCCAAATATTCACAAAATACATACGAGAAATATGAACTTAAACTCATGAAAATATCGATTCCTCAAAATTATTAACCTACAGCAATGATCACTTAATATGGGATGCCGACCTTAATTGTTTAAATTGACTCTTTGAATTAAAGTTTCGTTGTCAATTATCCACATCAACTGGCATGCTGTCATGTTACATTCAGTCATTCGTGCATGATCCATAGCTAGTTAAGTAATCGTTATCACACTACGATTCTGATTCCGAAACACATTTCGTATTTTAGACGATCAATTCGGTGTTTTAATTTGTTTTTGGTCTAAGCAGAGCAGGTACAATATAAGTTGCGGGATTAGAACTTACGTTTGCATACATAGTACTTTGAGTAAACGTTAAGATTTCTTCTCCCCTACGAAAACAATTCATGCACAGATCCATTATGCATATATAATAATGTACATGTGAGCATGACAGCTTCAAAGGCAACGTTCTAGCAAAACTACTTCTATTTATCAGTAGTATTAATAAGTTATGAATAAAATTTATGCTTCCAGGATTTTCAAGAGCTACTTTGCAGGGATTTGATTTTTTTCCAAGTTTAACCAAGGAGTGATACAAGTTAAAGAACTACTGAGAACAAAAAGGGAGTACTGGACAGTCGTTTCGTCCCAGTTTGAGACTCGTCGACAGTACGCACCCAGATCACGAGGTTCGAACCGAGGACCTTCCAATTTCAAGAAAAGCTTGCCGACGATAGCAGCTGGTGGAGGCACTAAAATCACCAATCGGCAGAAGTTAGAATTCACGGACTGACACCATTGAGTCAGGGGTCCCAGTGGCTGGTTGATCTACGAACTTGACTTGTAACAGAAAGGTCCTGGCTTAGAGTCCCAAAGTAGGGGGATGAAACAGTAGTCCAGTACTCCCAACTGGCTTTTAATGGTTCTCTCACTGATACCAATCCGTCATTAAACTTGGAACATCAAGTGTCATAAGAGACAAATCAAAAACTAGAAATCTTGATTCAATATTTTTTTTATCGAGATGTGAGAAAGACAACAAAAAAATCAAAAGTAATATAAATAGCATCTACAGATATAAAATCGAGAAGGTGTGTATGTGTGTTTCTTTTACTCATGAAAAAAATATATTCAAAAGTTATTCGTAAACAATAATAATAATAATCAATCAACACAATTGGCGGCAAATAGACATTTGAAATTTTTATCCACTGAAATGAATAACTGATTGACCGATTTATTCGTTCGTTCATTTATTCATTCATTGATTTGATCACTACTCACATTCACTGTTTTTTAATTATTTTCGGTGCACTGTATATATCTAAGCGTCTTTGTCGACCGATAGGTATACTTTCACGAACACGTTTCAATTCGCTGAAATCTAAGTTGGCTGTGACAATTTCCTCCTGAAGAAAAAGAAATTTAATTATTATTATTAATAATACGAAAAATTATTCGAAAACACATTATTTTTATTATCATTATCCGCTTGGGTGTCGAGTGGAATATAGGGGGCTTCAACAGCAGCAACTCAACTTCATGCTGTAATTTGCTGCAGTCGTTTTCAGCTGACCCCATGATCACCAGTAGGGCAGTTTCTTCCATGTTCCCGTTGAAGTGACGGCCATCTCATCGTTCCCCGATTCGGGTTCAACTCAAAGCACTGCCTAGCACACGATGTCACCCATCTCCATTTACTTCGATATGTTTGGATTGGCGAAAGATTTTTGGTCGGTTCGTCGCCTGCCGAAGATCTTTGTTGGGAATATTTTCTGGTCAGTCATCTGATCTTCAGTGTGGAGCGACGGCAGCTGCTACTGATAAAAGTTTGAAGCAAGCTGTTGGACATTTCTCCTTTTGGTGACGAATGTGCCATATCTCTTAACCATATCGAACCACATTAACGTTGACTTAAGTTTTTATTCACAGATTCAATAGGAATGGTAAAATTTTTTTATGTATAAAGTTACTGACATTAGAGTGTAGTGAACGAAATATTCTCATATTGAGTTATAAGAAAAAAAAGACGTAAACAGCAAAGAAAATTGTCTTTTCGACGATTCATTTTCATAAGCTGCTGTACACAATCGTGATTATAATTAATAGGGAATTCACAAAACCAATCAGATACTGGCAAAATTTGTCCTCGAAAAATGTTTTACGTAGTGTAAGATGAAATCTAGAAGAGGCGGCTAACTGGAAATTGGAGAAGGGGGTAGAAGTTGGCATAACGTAATAAGTGCGGGATAATGACTAATCAATAAGCTCGTGTAGAATTGACAGGAACTAGTGGAAAGACGATAAAGTGTTTTTGTAAACTTTGTATGAAAACGGGATAATATAATGAGGATGATGAGAATAATAGTAGTAAGATTACACAATCAAAGGAAGCAAAATTACAAGGAGGACGTTACTCTGGCCACGGTAGGGCGAGGGAATGTATGTGGTGCTCTTGAATGCAGAGGTCCGGTTTCAGATGCCGAATAGCCAATGATTTAGCCACGTACAGATGGCGTATTCGAAGTCCTTTCGTACGATATTGAGGGACTCTGTGTAGCACTGTGAAGTATTCATGAGGCGATGCTCGATGTCCAGAGTTGACCAAGTGTTCCAGGATAGAGTTGCTGTTATTCATCTTTTCTCCTCTGGCTAACCAACCTGGACAATGTTCCAGAATACGTTTGTGGACTTGACGTTGCATACGGTCGATATACTTTGCTCCACACGAGCAAGTAAATTGATAAATACACAAGTAATTGGCCAAAAGTGGTATCTTGTCCTTAACGTTAGACTGGATAAGTTGCCTGCTGGAGAATGTGATGCGTAGTAAGGTAGCTGCTTGAAATGTTTTCTTGAGATATCCAGAAAGGCGGTAATCTAAGAATTTCTACTTCGATATCACCTTTGAATTCCAGGTTCATGAAGAGAGTTTTCTCAGGAACAGTTGGGTTTTTAGTGATGGAGACGTTTCCTCCCTCATGTTTTTGTTGATAAATCTTGGTGGATACCCGTTCTCCAGTAGAGTTCCACCCAATGAATTTAACTCCTTCATTGTATCTTCCGAACAGATTTTTCGAATCCTTGAACATAATGTACGTACTAGGTTTCACTTTCAGACCGGTGGGACGAAGCTCTGGAAGTTGATGAACTGTTTCGTCTATGTTGGTTTGCAATATATTGATTTCAGAACAAATCGACATTCCTTGGAGAAGCAAGGAGTGACCAATGATAATTGTTTCTCCCTACTTTAGGACTCTTCACAGCAGGGTTTATTCATGATCTTTCATAAACACTAGCACAATATATCGATCGTCAAATTACAGAAATTAGAATTTATGCATTATTCAACTCCTTCCTACCCAACAGCTAAAATCCTTCCCAAAAGGTTTTAAGGGACGGTTGACTCCCATCAAGAAGGCGTGGATATGCACTAGAGAAACGTTTAACAAACTGGAACAAAACAACTCTACAAGGTGTTCCTTGATTCTCTAAGAGCTGGCAGTTACTGATGACGTAATCCACAGTGAAATTAAATTTTTTTTAGTTAAATAATATTTTCATTAGATAGTACATATACTTGCTTCCTTTCCCAGTTTTATTTACTTAAAGGCAAACATTTATACAACAGATAGAATAAGAATAAAACGATCAACAGTTGGCTTTTTGTGTCTGTGGATGTTGATGTTCTTTACCGTGGAGGAGTCACAATTCTAGTGTCGAGAGAGGTGATTCATTAACTTTGACAAGCAATCGGGCCTTCAGCCAGTGAAGTCTAAGGGTTCAAATCCCGCTCTACCTACTTCAGATTAGGGTGCAATTGAATAACATCAGGCCTCACAAATCAACATTGTGTGTGTGTGGTTTGTAGCCTCTCGTACATGGAAGACCTGCTCCGCATAGCTGAGTTCTATCGACAACAACAACAACAGCAGCAATAATAGCACCAATCAGCTACAAGTCTCCCCTCCCCATCTACCCACACTGCATGAAAATTCAGATCGTCTAATTACTGGGCATTTATGCACATGTAACAAGAAATTATGCACTCAGCTTTTAGATGACTTCAACAATTTTCGAAGTAATGATTCTCCCGCTGATTGACTGGATTGTAATGTTCAGGTCTCTGTTGACATGTTAGCCCCTAGTAACGGACGCTTCAACGATGTGTTTGAAGATTAACTTGAAGCAATTTAATGGATTAACAGTGGTGGAATCCAGAACGCGCCATTCCATCGTATTTGGGACACTACTTGTCAACTGGATTTGCCTGCATTCTCCAGTGAGTGAGTAATGTGGTGTTCTCACTGAGACTCGAACCACAGTACCCATCGTTTCAAATCGCCAAGTAGTTTGTTGAATAACGCTTTGGTATTTTTAAAATAAAAGGTACAGGGTTCAGGTATCAACAGGCAACACCATCACTCACTCACTCGCTCACTGGGAATACAGGCACACACATATAGCTGACAAGTATTTCAAATAGGATGAAATAAGCATCATCCTGGATTACACACTGCTATTTTTTACTTTTCAACAAAACTGCTTTAGTAATTTGAAAATTCCCATTCAGTCATAGAAAAGAAAAGGCGTTCAGCAAAGAGCTACTCTTTTCGGTGATATCATTCTCAAGCTGTACAAACCGCAAATTTATAGTAATTTATCTTGGCAACAAAAGGAATATTTCCAAAGATGTGCTAATGCAATTGTTAATTTTTGACAAAAAATTACGTAATTTAGAAGGCGTTAATCGGTTAGAAACTAAAATAAAGTTACAAAAGTAGGTTGGGTGACGTAATCTAATTGCTAGGGTTCAATGAAAAATGAATGAGAGTCAAGTTAGTAGTCTGAGTAGAATTCACTTAAAAATAAACGAAAATGGAGTTAGCAACAGTCGTCATGAGGGTAGAGATTTAATAGAGGGTGGGAGTAGAAAAAAATGCAATTAAGAAACAGACAAACAAAGAAGAAAGAGGTAAGACAAAATTACGTATTTGGTGTTGAGATAGATCAGGACCATTGTAGATTTAGTGACTGAACAAACTTCTTTTGTATGCAGAGTTCAGGATTCAATATGTGAATTGCCATTGCTTCTGCAGTTTGCAGAAGTTTAATTCATACTCTTTTGGCAAGATTCCAATGTATTGTGCAGATAACTGGGAAGTTGTTTTGTGGGTGTGCTTGGTGTCCGGATTCGATCAAGTGTTCTAGGATAGAGCTGTGGCGGGGGGATCTTCTTTCTCCTTTATAAAACCATGAAGGTAACTGTTCGCTGATTCGTTTGGATAGCAAACGCTGGGTACGGCCGACATACCTTTATCAATTTTTTTATTATCCCTTTACGTTCCCAGTGGAACGTAGGGCACCTTCAAGCCAGAGCTTTGAAGCTTCGGTAGCAGTGGTGTTTCTTTTTGTGGAGTAGGGGGGTTGCTAGCCTCACATGCCCAACCTTCCCTCTTTACCAGTCTTTTCTTTTACTGGCTTAGCGAGGTAAAGGAGTGTGTCAACCGGGCATCGAACCCCAGGCCGCCTGCGTGGCTGACGAGCATTCTACCGCTTTGCCACCGACGCCTACTTTATCAATAATAATTTTTCAAAAAAGAGGAGTGCTCATTCTTGATAAATACACACAAATAATGATAATAAAATTAATAATCACAATAAGTACTCTATGGGAAAAATTTACCTCTTTGCCAGCTTTAGCTATAACCATACCCCATGGTGAAGTGATCAGTGATTCAGCATGACTGATATAATCCAATTCTAAATTACACGCTGGACTACACAAGCCAATATAAGACTGTGTATCTAGCGCTCGAGCACGACCTAATAATTCCCAATGCATAGGTCCTGTAAACATGGGAAAAACAAATAAATAAATCAATCAATAAATACCGAACCATTATACATTATAAGGTGCTTATTTTAAACAGCCATAAGGTGAAAATAAGAACTTTGGACACCATCTAACAGGCCTAATCTCTGTGTCTGTTTTCAACATAGAACTTTGCACCGATGTGCGGCAGTTCAAGTCGCCACACTCCCTTCATGTACCACACAATGCAAGAGAAGAAACGCAAAACAGAGACAGTAAATGGAGGTGTGAGACAAAGGAATACTAATAACAAAGAACAATATAAGGTCATCGGAAATTAGAGATCACAAGGAGTGGATGCATCTACGCCAACCATTGAGAACGATTTTGAGCCATATCACCAATCGTCTTCAGCCATTGGTTTTTACCGTCCCGAAGACCCCAACCAGGAAGTTTACACCTTCCTACGTGGCTGGCTTAAACTAACTGTTGTGGATTTCATTGGCTGGTGCCATGTTTTCGTTTGACCACCAGCCTGACCCTATGTCAGTTAACATTGCCCATTGTCGAGGAAGGCGATGGCTAGGGATGCATACGTAACACATGTCCTAACCATCTCAGTCGATGTAACTTCACAGCTTCGTCGATTGATTTCCCCTCCAACTCACCTAGCACTAGACCGATGCCTAACCTCAATATTGCTCACCTTGTTATACCACTTCACACTGGAGATAGAATGCAGGCACTTATGATCAAAGACAGATGGCCGGCCTTTTCATGTCTTCCACTCTTAATGGCCAGGTCTCACAGAGGCCCGATCACACCAATAGATCTAGGAACGCTCAGTAGTCAGAGCAAGGCAGTGAAATCAGGTAAAGAACACTATATTTATGAGGGGAAAAACTGTTGAATGAAGTGTAATGATGAAGTTAAAGAGGATATCTGATAATATTATAAGTTAGATTAGGGACGATTAAGGTTTAGATCAGGCTGGGGACACGTTAGAGTTAGACTGTGTTTGGACAGTCACATCGGCCAGTGCCAACGGGTTCATCGCCGACAAAATCTCAGCACGGATACAGAAGGCTCGTTTAGCGTATGCCAGTTTACGCCATCTCTGGCTTCGTAGATGTGATATCCGACTGGCTATCGATCAAAAGACGTGTGTACTGCTCAGCAGTTCGCTCCGTCCTTATTCATGGCTGGTTGGCTGGCTGTAAGACATGGCCATTGTAAGTGGAAGACACACTTTATCTCCCGTGTGAAGTGATATAATACGTTGAACAATAGTGAGGTGGGAGGGGAAACCAATAGACGAGGTTGTGAAGCTACATCGATCGAGAGAGATGGTTAGGACATGTGTTACGCATGCCTGTCTAGCCATCGCTTTCATCGACAACGGGCAATGTTAACTGACTCACATAGGATGGATCAGGTTGGACACTAGTAACTAGTGTGATGTGTCTAGTCCTTTGTTTTGGTACAGACTAATATCTATCAGTCAGGTTTGCAATGTGGCCACCATCTCACTAGGTAGCTCACCATCACAGTGCACATTGATTTGATGATATTAGATGGTTGGAGGCAATCGGCAGGCAGTCTTGCCTGACGCAGGTTTCGATTGCCTCCATCTATCTAATACCAACAATTCACAGGGCACCGTGATGGCGAGTCACCTAGTGGCATGGTAGATAGGTAGATATTAGTCTGCACCAAAGAAAGGACTAGACACATCACAATAGTTACTGACTAGTGTCCAATCAAAGTACAACCTTTTAAAACACAAATCAAAAGAAAAATATTTTCATCAAAATCAACAACTTACCAGTTTTAGGAGTGAATGCAGCTGGAAACAATATCAATTGACAGCCTAATTGATTAGCATAGACAAGAGATAATTCAGGAAAACGAATATCATAACAAATAGCCAATCCAACTCTAATCACCGACGTCTTATTCTCTGCACTGTCAAGAGGCATTTCAAAATAGAATAAATCTTTTCCAGAACTAAGTGAAGCGGATTCTTTAAATGTGAACTGACCTACATCCATTATCCAACAACACAAAATGACATAAAACAAAATATCAGTTATTCACAGTAACACTGGAGTAAAACGAATAAAGAATAGAACTTAGGCATGGTGGTGGGCAAAGTTAAACTTTAAGCACCACTGACTACGACCAATCAGCAAATGACCTTGAACGCACCAATCACATGAAGGGAGGCATTTTTGTTTATGGAAAACATATATATATATATACATATAGTTTGATTTGTAAAGGTTAGTTATGTTTTTTACGAGTTGATCACGGATTGATATCAGTTAGAGAACCATTGAAAACCAGCCACAGGGAGTACTGGACAGCTGTTTCGTCAGCCTAGTTTTGGGAATCATCCACAGTACGCACCCACACTACGGGGTTCGAACCCAGGACCTTCTGGTTACAAGGGAAGCTGGCTCGTATACCATTCAGCCACTGGGACCCGATTCAATGGCCAGTCCATGAATTCTAACTTCTACCAATTCGTGATTAACTGCGACTCCAACCAATGTCGTTGGTGGGATATCCATCCTCACACGTGACATCTGGTTGAACCTCACTGGTCACTACTTCTCACTAGAACTCACTCCAGGAAACTCCATCCCGTAGCAAGTCACTAGCGAGCATCAGATTAATTTTCTGTAGTTTCGTCTGTAAGGGTTAGTTATGTTTTTTACGAGTTGATCATTATAGAAAATTAATCTGATGCTCGCTAGTCACTTGCTACAGGATGGAGTTTTCAGGAGTGAGTTCTAGTGAGAAGTCGTGACCAGTGAGGTCCATCCAGATGTCAAGTGTGAGGATGGATGTCCCACCTACGACACTGGTTGGAGTAGCGCTAAATCACTAATTGGTAGAAGTTATAATTCATGTAGTGGCCATTGAATTGGGTCCCAGTGGCTGAATGGTATACGAGTCAGCTTGCCTTTTAACTGGCAGGTTCTGGGTTTGAACCCCCTGGTGTGGGCGCGTACTGCCGATGATTCCCAAAAAAACTAGGATGAAACAGCTGTCCAGTACTACCTGGTTTTCAATGGTTCTCTAACTGATATCAATCCGTGGTCAACTCGTAAAAAATGTATATATTTGTGAAAACTGCATAAAAACTGTATATAAATGTCGCATAGGATACCTTTCTCTGACATGCGACAAAAAGATCTCCCAGTTGAGCATAGGAGTATATCAGCTGAAAAGTTACACCACATTCCGTACATATATTCATTCATCTAAATGACTATAAATGACATCCTTTTGAGATCGATTAATGGCCCTAATCCTGTATTTTTAATCTTCCCCAAAAGCCTTTTATAGAACTCCTGTGTGTCCATATAACGGGATCCACAAAATCATTAGAATAGTTCACTCTGTTGCTGAATATATCCAAGGGATGACAGAGAGCTATTAACCTTTCCAATCATCCATGTGTAGGAGGACACCTCCTCCTTCTCCTCCTAATAACGAAGTAATTACCTCCATTTTCCATGACGTGAAATCTCTGCAGTGCTGATACCACTGAAATGTGTTGACAGGAGATTATTTTCTCTGTGTTTAGTAGCTACACCTGTCACAGACTGATTTAAAACCCAGTAACTACAAATATACAAAATCTGAGGTTAAGGATGATTGGGAACCTGGCAAAAAATTTTCTTTCCAATTATTAGAATCATCAGTTTACCTACCCTGACATTTGACTTGAATCAATGTGCGAGGTAAAGGAGTGCGTCACTCGGCCGGGAATCGAACCCCGGACCACCTACGTGGTTGGCTAACATTCGACCGCTGTGCCACCGACTCACATAATATTATAAGTTCTCATAATAAGTGTAGCTCATTGCTACATGTATATAGTTGTTAATCAATGCTTCCGTACACATGAGAATGTTGATGAACATTAACCTACTGCCTAACTTTTACTTTCATTTTGAGCACAATTTATTATTGCTTATTATCATACCAATGTATTCAGATGACTTCATAATTCACTTTATAAGTTTTTCCTCTCCCCTTCTTATTTATTGCAAATTTCTGTATCTCCAGTATAGACGTTGCATCATTCTGATTGAAAGTGTGCGCTGTTGATTAGATGGAATAAAGATTCAGTGATTAACCTCTCACTCTCTCTCCCTTCATCTAACTATAATATTACTTTTTAATACTTTCCCTCTATTGTGTAATTGCATGCAAGTGAATACATTTCAATGGTCAAGATTTTTTCTAGATTATTTAACTTAACACAGTCAATCATTCTAACTATAACTTAATTTTTATGCTTTGATAGTTTAACTGACCCCGATCTACTAGTCTGTGCTATGTAATCGACCCCACTTACCGTCATTATATGGTAATTGGTATACTAAATTATCATTTTTTTTCCTTAATTGGATCTAATGGGTCCGTAAGCTGACAAAGTTTATTATGGGTAAAATTTTATTTTGATTAAGTCTCACAGTGTGTACAGTATACAGCAATATTTACTGATGACAACGTTTCGAGCACAATTGATTGCTTCTCATAATCATATCAAGGCAATACTCATACAGCTTTCTGAATTGGTTTATATAATTCCATCACTATTTTTCATCGCTTGACTTGATTGGTAGTAGTATTTTCCATATTTCCTGTATGAGTGATAACTCATTCCTATTGTACGTGTGTTGAGTGTAGACTTGATGAACGAGGTATCTATAGTTCTACCATATAAGGAGGGGACATCTGAGGCCCTACGTATGATTCTTAAGAAAGCAGGAATTAGAGTGGCAATCAAACCTACAAGCTCTGTAGGCTAAAGGACCCTGTTCACCCAATTAAACAAAATAATAATAATAATGATTTAAAAAATACCTTGCAATGACTGAGTTAAACCACATAGGTCAAACCAGTAGATAAGGGGTAGTCAGATCGTCTGTCAGAACATAAGCATTTAACTACATGTAGAATGATTCATCCCACGAAGATGAGTAATTTAGAAAAAACTCAACAAGTGCACTGCATGCATTAACACACAACAATACAATAGGGTGGAAGAGGGTTAAAATTCTAAAAAGTAATGTAGGCGGGTGGAGCGCAAGAGAGGTTGATTACTGAATCTTTGTTCATAGAATCTACACCCAACACTCATACCAGAAAGATGGAAAATACTACTACCAATCAAGTCAAGCGATGAAAAATAGTGATGGAATTATATAAACCAATTCAGAAAGCTGTATGAGTATTGCCTTGATATGATTATGAGAAGCAATCAATTGTGCTCGAAACGTTGTCATCAGTAAATATTACTGTATAACCACACTGTGAGACTTTATCAAAATAAAATTTTACCTATAGTGGGATTATACTCTAACACCACAGTGCACAAGTTCTATTCTTATATCAATGACAAAGTTTATCTCTGAGAGAGTCGGTTGATTCAAATACCATCCTAATTCCAGCCTTATTGAGAAACCTACATAGGGCTTCTAATGTTCCTTCTTTGTATGATGATAGGAGTTAGAATTTCGCCAGTTCCAGTAGGCAGACAGAAAAAAAAGACATCTAGACTTGTTTTAAAGACGCAAGAGAATATGCGATGAGGAGTTCCCTTGTCCAGTGCTCATGGAGCAGTGTCAGTCAATTCGACTGTACGTGAATTGTAGAAGTTAGGCTAACTATAGAGAAGAACGTATCGATTGATTCCCTGAGTTCAGACTAAAATAACTACTACTAGCCTTTTAGTCATTTACAATTACGACTAAAATGACCTAACTATATTGATAATGAATAATAGAGTCACTCGTTGACCAAGTATATCGATTGATATAAAATAGATTTGATACATGTGTAATAGTGATGCAACAGTCTATAAATAAAACAGTCAAAAATCAATAACTGTTGAACTTGAACTCATAAACTCATGAACAAACTTTTAAACTTATCGACAGAATAAACCACTAATTCACTGACTGACTGACTGACTGAGTGAGTGAGTGAGTGAGTGAGTTTCAACACATAAAACTTTGAATAGAAGTCCACCACTTCAGGGAATCACACACCATGTAGCACGAAAAAGAGGGATTCCAAAGAACGACTTTTTTGTTTATTCCTTCACGTTCCCAGTGGAACATAGCGAGGGGGCTTCAAGCTAGAGACTTGAAGTTTTAGTAAACAGTGGAGTTTATTTTTACGGAATGGAGTTGCTAGCCCTCGTTACCAGTCTTATTACTGGCTTAGCGAGGTAAAGGAGTGCATCAGCCGGGCAGAGATCGAACCCCGGACTACATGAGTGGTCGGCGAGCATTCAACCGCAGTGCCACCGACGTACACAAAGAACTATAGTGAGCAGAAATGTACGGGAGAAAGAACAGTATAATCTAGAAAAAACAACATGAGGATATAATGGACCCGGGGGAATACAAAGAATGGATGCATCTGCTCCATTGAGAATGATTTTGAGCCATATCATCAATATAGTCACAAGCCAATGGTTCTTAGAATCTCGAAGTCATCAACTAGGCAGTCTACACCTCCTCACGTGGCTGGCTCCAACCAACTGTCAAAGACTTGATGGATTAATTCCAGACTGTTGTTTCAATTTAATCTTATGTCCAGGAAGGCAATAGCTCAGCATGCGCAAACAACAGTGTCCTGGCTACCTCAATAAACAAACTAATAGATAATGATAATAGAAAACTTTAAACAATTTATGTGCATGATGTGGTTCATTGGGTTATAAGCACTTAGCTTTCAACCAATGCAAGTCCCAAGGCTAGAATTCTGCCCACCTACATCAACTTTATGGACGACCTACGTCTAGTGTCACAACCTCGAAGATCTAAAGGACAAAACAAAAAAATCGGCAGCAGGAACAGATGGGATAGGACTCTAATCGAGCATAGAGAAGACAGAGGTGACCATCAACAGGAGAAAATCGAAGGAAGTCACTCTTTTAGTTAACTAGGCAGCCTCTTTTCAACTAAAGATCACACGGATAAGGATGTCCAAGACAGTCAAGATCGGGAAAGCAAGGAAAACCTTCATTAATCTGAAATCAGTGTGGAAATCTACCGCAATCAGTAGATAGAATAATATTTGGATTTTCAAAGGTAATGTCAAGTTAGTCAGGGCTACTGTATGGTTCAAAGACTTAGTACACGCGCTATCACAAATATGTCCATAGGCCTGCTACAGAATTGTGTCAATAGGATCCTTCTCTCATTACTGGAAAACAGACAGCCGGTCGGCCAGAAAACATCAGCAACAAGGAAGTCTTTGGATGAAACAACCAAGTACCTATTGCCCCTAAAAATGAAGAGGGAAAAGACTGCTGAGTGAAATCACGCGCCATACAACTCCTCAAGTGGAACCTGAATGTGAAACAAAAAGTTGGGCGGCATTTCAAGGGTGACATGGTGAAGACTGTGTGAGGATGCGGAAAGAAAAGCTTATGGGCAATTGTGGAGCCAGGTTAAGAGGACTGCAGACAACAGGATGAAATGAAGACGTATTCCTGAAACTCTATGTTCCACTCGGAACCTCAGAGAAAATAATAATAATAATTTAACAGATTCTGAGGGGAGGTGATTTTTCAGAAATTTTATACATTTGTTCCTCTTCTCGGAAAGATGTTGAGAAACAACGGCTACCCTCAGAGATTCATTAACAAGTACACAAGATGTCAAGGCTCAAATGTCAAACAAATCACAGTGGGGGAAAAAAGCCTGTCTTCATTCAGCTCGATTTTAAAGGTGATAACATTGCAGGAATAGTCAACAGAAGATTAAGTACGTCACTAGTCACAGACTATCCTACAGCCAAGATGGTTCCCGTCTATCGAACAACATGCCCTTCTCCGGTGCAATCAAAAGTCAAAAGATACCCTTCTCATGTTAACTCTAACTGTGTACACAAATTCACATGTACCTACAGGGACAGTTACAATGGGAGAACAGAAAGAAGAAGGGCAAACCTCAGATTTTCTGAGCATGTACTAAAAAGCCTACTCTTCAAGGAAACAAACACTTTCAATAGTGTCATTGCCGGGCATATCCTTGATACAGTTCATGAAGTGGATATCGCTAAATCTCTTAAAACTATCAACACAATAAATAGCTCAACTCTTATCAAGTTTGCTGAAGCAATCTCTATGAAGCGCGTGAAACCCAATTCATGTGTTAAGAAAGGAGCAATTATACAGTCTTTCCTTACCCTGATAACTGTGCGTCTTAATTATCTCTCTTACCTTTGTTACGCAACTCTTTTACCAATGTATGCATACATTAATTTTTTTCTAAAATTGAACTCTGTCAGTTGAAATCATGTGAAAACTGCATGCTAAAAATGTTTCTTTACAGAAACTTAGTTATATCATTAGGCTGTAAGCAGATGATGAGAAGCAAACGAGATAAGCAATGATGGCACCATCTTATTCTGCACAAACCACTGTTGTCTTTGTTTTATTCAATATAATCCTTATAATGATACGTCAACTTGTGCCACTGGGTTGTAGCTAATAACTTAATGCATACGATATCAGTTAGAGAACCACTGAAAACCAGCCACAGGGAGTACTGGATATAGCTGTTTCATCCCCCTAGTTTGGGACTCATAGGCAGTACACACCCACCGACAGGGTTCGAACCCAGGACCTTCCGGTTACAAGGCAAGCTGGCAGACCATTCTGATGTTCCTTAGTGACTGGTTGCGGAACGGAGTTGTCTTGAGTTCTAGTGAGAAGTCGTGACCAGTGGGGATCCATCCTGTTGACAGTGACGACAAATACTCGCCGCGGATGACATCGGCTGGTGCCAGTCGCAATAACATCATCAATTGGTAGAAGTTAGAATTCATAGACTGGCCTGAATGGTCGTTGAGCTTGCCTTGTAACCGGCATATCTTGGGTTCGAAACCCGGTGGTTGCGTACTGCCGATGAAACAGCTATCCAATACTCTCTGCTGGTTTTCCATAGTTATCTAACTGATACCAATCCGTGGTGAAACTCTTGAAAACTCTGTTTCAGACAAGTGAATTCAAACAAATTAACAAACAAGCTGAAAAAAATTGACAATTTTATTGTGTTCTTTTTTAAAACTTACCTGGTATATCAATATCGAATAAGTGAAGTTTACGATAGAGACCGACTAATTCACCATTGGAATTGTATGTTGCACTACAGTTGTATAATTTGCCATCAGAACCACGCTCTGGTATGGATCCACCAACAAGCCATATTTTATGTTGTCTGTTAAAGTTTTTAAAAGAAAACATAAACAACAAGATGAATGTGTATTATACAAAAGGTCTATATTTAGTAATGCCAGGCCCCACCACTACACTACCGCCTTCCACCACATTGAGTAATTTTGATGTGGTTGTGTTCTCTGAGCTGACTGGGTAGTTAATTTGCGAAGCTTTCATCACCCTACTAGGTGACATCTTCAGCGCATACTTGAATTTGATGAAGTGAGCTTTTAGATTTCTCCACGAGTTCACTATTAGTCATCTCTCCTGGTGGGTGATCTTGAACGTGACTGGTTGTTTTTGTGTGTTTTCACACCTTCTAGGCTACTTGTATTGGAACTGATTGTTTCTTTGACTTGAACTTTGACCCTAAACGTGGTCCTTTCCTTAAGGTGGGAGTGTTGCAACACTTCTCATGGATGTCTTCCAAAAGAATAGATATCCGCGGAGTTTCATCAAAAGACATATACCCCCAAGCCAACCTATCAAACCAAAAGCCCCCAAGGAAAGCACAAAGAAAATCGCCTTACCATATATAAAGGATATCTAAGAATTCACTGCAAGACTCTTCAAACCTTTAGGAATTGACGTCGTACACAAACTAGCAAAATCACTTCACTCAGTCAGCTCTGTTTCAACCAAAAGACTCAACAGCGAAAGAAAATAAAACCAACATCATCTACAAATTAAATTGTAACAACTGCGAAAAACACTACATTGACCAAAGTGGACGTCCCCTTCGTCTTCGTATCCATGATCATAAGCTAGTCATCAAAAGACATAATATCCACTCCCTCACTCATGTCACTACATACAGACAACCACAGACATCAATTCGACTGGGACAGCGTTCAAATATTAGACAGAGGAAACAACAAGAATGCTAGAGAATTTTTAGAAGCCTGGTAATCCAGTGAATCATCAATCAATAGACACATAGAAATAGATAAAATTTATCAACCGATAAGAAAGAAACCTCACACACAAAGGGTCAAAGTTCAAGTCAAAGAAACAATCAGTTCCAATACAAGTAGCCTAGAAGGTGTGAAAACACACAAAAACAACCAGTCACGTTCAAGATCACCCACCAGGAGAGATGACTAATAGTGAACTCGTGGAGAAATCTAAAAGCTCACTTCATCAAATTCAAGTATGCGCTGAAGATGTCACCTAGTAGGGTGATGAAAGCTTCGCAAATTAACTACCCAGTCAGCTCAGAGAACACAACCACATCAAAATCATCCACCTGAGCTACAAATCTTCTGTATCATATCTACATCGAGTAATGCTAGTTAACGGACATGGGATTTGGTTAGAAATGATTGTTACAAGTGTGGTCAAATTAAAACAAAGCATCAGAGTCTATGAATTCTTTGACGAACGCTTGGTTTCAACCATCATCCATTTGCGGAGGTGTAGACTGCCTGATTGTGGTCGTCATTATGCTAAGAACCAACGGCTTGAGACTTTCAGTGGCATGTTATTAATATTATTATTTAAACACAAAAAACTTGGTAAAATATGGCACCAAGAAGATGCGTCACACAATAACAATAAAACGATATAGATTAAAAGTAAAAATATAAGTGGAGAACGGATAAAGAACGTCATCTACAAGGAAAACAGTCATATTTAACAAGTTCAAACAGCATTCGTCAATTATCGACGTAAAGGCAAGGAAGAACAAAAATTGCAGCACGTTCGTCATTGATAACTGCGATTCTTGCCCCGGACTCCAACCAGGGAGTCGTGAGGCACCAAACAATGCTGATCTAACACAAATATCCTTCATCCTACGACGCCGCGTCATAGGCTGACAACCTCTCCGTCTTTTTCCATCCTGTCCCAGGGATAGCGAACAGAGACATGTACAGAAGCTTCTGGGACGACATTTGCAGCACATATCCAAACCGCCGAAGCCGGTGTTTCCACTGTGTTCAAACCCACGACGCCGGAACTCAGATATACTCACGCGATGATTCCATCGAACGGAGACAGTGATGATCGAATCCGCATAGCCGGAGCACATCTTCAGCTCAGAAAGGCAGCTAAGCAGCGTCAGGGGCTACGTTCCCATGGTCGCCAGTGACTAACACAGGTTCATATGCCGTTTAATCCAACTGCTTTTAGTCTAACTACTATCCAAAAACAACCTTCCTGACATGGTAGAACCTGCAGAAACATGGATCTCAGCCAGCGTAGCTTGTGTTAGTCACTGCCGTAGTAAAGCCCGACCACCATGACAAAGTAGCAGTTGTCGGTCGGCTCAAAAACGTTCTCATTGTGATCCCCCCTCCACCAATCTTTTAACTCGTCACGCTTTTCCATGTTACTCTTTCATTCTCCTGCATATTCATGCTCATTATGGTCCTTTGGAATTTCTCTGTTTTCTATACCTTTGTATGCGCTAAGATGAAGTGTGACAAGACTAATTGAAATGTTAGACTTCTGTGCAAAGTTCAATGTGTTGAAACTCTGTCAGTCAATTAATCGATCAGTAGTAGAGCTTACTTCAATTTCAGAGATATTCATCACCTAGAATTTATGCACTATATACAGCATTTGATCCTAGGTTCTTTAAAAATTCACAAGCTTCAATAAGACACTTAAACACGTAAAGGCTGGCTACATTATTAAAAAATATCGCATAATTAATGGAAGTAAGTTATGTTATGAGCTATTGTGGTGGTGTGATACGGACAATATGTTCCAACAGAATATTGATCACACATGTTCCCAAAGTTCAATACGGCATTAGCAACAAAACAATATGTGTAGCTGAACATTCTATTTGCTGTTTGAGACAGAATACTTTTTTTCACACAGTTCAATACTTTGTTAACAACAGAATACGATATGCATTTCAACATTCTATTTAATGTCGTTTAATGTAAACCAAAATCACACGCTCATTGACTGGTTAAAGGATATTATTATTATTATGATTGTTCCCTTGGGTTCCCAGTGCAACATAGGGCTTCAACTGCACGTCTCCACTTGCTTCTGTCTTCTGCTGTACTTTTCACTTGCATCCACTTTAATCCATACTGTTTCAACTCTTCTTCACACGATTTCCTCCATGTCACCCTCGGACGTCCCACTCGTTGCTTCCCTTTCGGGTTCCACTTGACCAATGGCCTGACGCGCGATGTCACCCAGCGGACTCCACAGCGAGTGTCCAATCCATCTCCACTTTCTCATGCATATTTATTGGGGCAATTGGTTCTTGTTTTGTTTGTTCTCAGAGTTTCTTGTTGGTGATTCTTTCCGGCCATCTGATCTTGAGTACAGGACGAAGACAGCTGATGATAAAGGTCTGCAACAGGCTGTTGGAAATATTCTTTGTGACACACTGGCCAAGTTTCTGATCCGTATAGAAGAACTGACTGACTTGATGTTTGTATTGAAAATCCGAATCATTTTGTTGTTGATGCTGAGTGACGAAGATTTCCAGATTGGTTTCAGGTTGATGAATGTGTTTCTCGCTTTCCCGATTATCGATTTGACATCCTCGTCTGTTCCTCCTGTAATTGAGACAATGCTCCCTCCATGGATAAGTGAATGAAGTAACCTCTTTCAAATCCCTCCCGTTGATGGTGATTGGTGCTGGATGTTGCTGCTGCTGTTGTTGTTGTTGGTTGGTTGGTTATTTTCATAACCTCCGTCTTGTATATGTTCACCTAGAGTCCTCTCTTCTCTGGCTGCTTCTTCGACCAGTTTGTCGGTTTTCGCTTGTAAGTCTTCGATATTTTGTAACATCAAGCATAAGTCATCCGCGAAATGAAGGTCGTCTAGATTCTTCACGTCAGTCCAGGATATCCCTGTCTTCTCGTTTCCCACTGTCTGACGCATAATCCAGTCCACCACAATTAGGAATATCATTGGTGATAATAAGCACCCTTGTCTGACTCCTGTGTTTACTCCAAAAGCCTCGGTGAGTTTTCCGTTGTGGATCACTTGACATGTGCCGTTGTCGTACAGCTGTTGAATAAGGTTGATGAATATTTGGGGTACGCCGTAGCATTCGAGTAGTTTCCAAATTACTTCGCAGTCAACGCTGTCGAAGGCCTTCTCAAAGTCTGTACAGTTGAGGTAGAGGTTTGATATAAAAATATATATATAAAATACGAAACTGTTACACTTCAGAAGTTTTGAGTATAGTAAGCGAAAATGAACCAAACACCAAACACTGAATACTAATTACAACATAAGTAACAAGATTAATTTATTGAAAAATGAAAGCTTTACCTTTATCACAACAAATAAAAATACACTTAAACTTACTTAGCCATATCTGATAGCAATTTACACGTGGGACCATTCGGTACTTCTTCGGCATACGAATCCAAATATTTTGCACCAATTGGTGAATTAAAAAATTCTGGAAGACATACAAGTTGAGGTGAGTGTTCAGTGACAGCTCGACTGATTAAATCAGTGGCACGTTTTAAATTGGCAGCTTTATCTGCACCAACAAGCATTTGGATTAGTGCTAATCGTAACATGATTATATGTTTCTTCTCTTCTTTTTTTTCTATTGAAGGAGGGAGGATAAGAGGATTTTGAAATCTGAAATGGTATTATATCAACAAAAAGTTTAGTTAAATCCAAGTAACAGGTAGTTAGTGTTTTGTGTTTAACTAAAAAATGAGTGCTCGTACACTTAGAAAAACCAATATGCAATAACGAAAATACTTCCTATGTTAAGGATTTAAAATGATATATAGTCTTTGACAGGGGGAAGAGTGTGGTGAGAGCTGGCTGCTAGCCAAATTGGTAGACATTAATTTACGTCAATAAACGATCTGCTGCCGCCTAGCCCTTGTTTTCTGTTGTCATATTTGGTGTCACTGCCTACCGACAAATGGAAAGCCTATGCCCTGCAGTTTTTGATGGAGACATATGGATCTTCGGGCAGGACTTTGAGGCTTCTGCGCAGTTAAGTGGCGTTGAAGATCTGTCAGCGATGAGGCTGTTACTTGGTACGCTGCTGGGAGGTCAGGCGAAAGCAGCATATGAAAGTGTGAGGCAAAATACCTACGAATGTGAGACAGGGTCAGGCAAACAGTTTCCAAAGTGGGAAGGATCACATATGGTCACTTTGAGAGGGGTTTACTCAGACACAATCGCAATGGCAAACAAAGAGAAACAGGTGAACATCAATGAGCGCCGAGATTCCAGAAAGCAAGACAAACGAACAAAGCCCCTAGAATCGAGCAGATCGGACCAACTTCAGTCGCAAGTCTTTGACGGGGGAATGAGTGTGGTGAGAGCTGGCTGCCAGCCAAATCAGTAGACAGTAGTTTGCTTCAATGTTTACGTCCCCAATATTGGTCGTGGGAAAAATAACAACAAAGGCTGATTCAACAACCAACCACAGCAGACTTTGCTTAGGCGGATACAATTTGCAGACAGATAATCTGAACTTCAAGAAACAGCCACAAAGAGATGAAAGATTAACTTTCAGTGAGAAACAACCAATCAGAAGATTGTGTTTGTCTGTTAACAATAATCTATAATAATGTACATGAAAATCTATAAGTATGTGTTGATTTCCTTAATAAACGATCTGTTGCCTGACCCTTGTCTTCCGTTGTTATAATAATATACGTCTCTGAGTAATAATTTTGACCTACTTGAGTTTGAGGCTAAAATAGGACTAATGAACTTAAACATTCTAAGTTTATACGGTATTCCGGGTTCGAGACCCACTCCATCTACTTGGATCTGATTTGGTGGGGTTACTTATCTTGTTAAACCTAATAAATTACTATCATCAGGGCCTCAGCAGCAACCTTTCAGTGTATTATGTTCTCTGCCATCATTTTCAATTGGTTTCACAACTGTTCCCTAGTATTCTTTTCTTATTCACAAGATCTCATCCGTGTCGCCGTCAAACTCATGCCCAACTCGTCACTTTGCATTCAGGGTCCACTCAAAGCCATGGTGTGTGATGTCACTCAGAGGCATCTTCAGCATAGGTCCAATAAATTTATATTTTCTTTAGTATATTTGTTAAGCAATAAGTTCTTAGCCGGTTAGCTCACGATATTTTCTTCAAGAGTCTCAATACAATCCATTATGACTCTTTACCATTTATTACTCACCTCTATTTTAAAGGCAGAGAAGGCATCATGTGTATTCATGTTATGATCTCATCAACAATTAAGATGACTGAGTAGCCTTATACGTAGATATAATGCTGGCTGGCAGGATTCAACATAGAACTTGGCACCGAAGTGCAGCAGTTCCAGTTGCCACGTTCCAAATAGCACACAAAGGTAGACAAGAAGATGAGTGAAGAGAATCAATAGAGTTTTGACAAGTATAAGAGTGAAACAGAATGAGTAATGGTAGAAAGGAACATGAAAGATTACAGAGACTGAATACATCTGCGCCACTGACAACGATTTTGAGCCATGTCACCTAGTGTCTCCAGCCATTGATTCTTAGAGTCTCGATGGCCCCAACCCGGAAGTCTGCATCTCCCTACCTGACTCAGTTTAACTGTCAAGGATTTCATGGATTGATGAGGCCATGTTTTTGTTTGGCCACCACTTACTCTTAACCAACCTGCACCTATATCAGCTAGTAATGCCCGTCCGTCGGGGGAGGCGATGGTTAGGCATGTGCAGCACGTCACCTAGCCATCTCAATCCATGTAATTTTATAGCCTCGTCGATTGATTTTCCCTCTTTGCCCAACACTCTACGCTTGATGTCAACATTACTTACCTTATTATACCACCTAACGTGAGAAAGAGATCGTAAACATCTATGATCAAAAACAGTCAACCTTTTCATGTCTTCAACTCGTATTGGCCATGTTTCAGAGCCATAGAGAAGGACGGAGCGGACTGCTGAGCAGTACACACGTCCCTTGGTTGATAGCCGGATGTCACGCCTACGCCAGAGACGGTGTAAGTTAGCGAAAGCAGCCCAAGCCTTTTGGATCCGTGCTGAGATTTCGTCGCCAATCAGTCCGTTGGTGCTGATACAACTTCCCAAATAGGTGAAGTGGTCAACATGTTCTATCACTTCACTCCCTATCACTAAGCTAGGAGTTGACGTAGTCCAATCCTGTAGCAGCATCTTACATTTTACAGGGGCAAATCGCATGCCAAACATACGAAGATTGCTGCTCAAGGTGTTCAGAAGACTCTGCATTTTGTCAGCATCCTCCCCTAACAGGACTATGTCATCTGCATATTCTTAGATATAATAATACTGACGCAATGGTCAACTCAACTGTTGTGCTAGACACGGTTATTCATCCCTTAGTGGCTGTGACTGTTAGGGTACAACTTTATGAGTGAAAAAATACATTCCTAACGACATTAGAATTTGGCTAGGTTAGTGAAAAAATAGATTGTTCTGATTGGTTGATGATGGTTGGCCCAGAACCAAGGTTAGAAATAGGATGATGAAATTTTACAGTCATTTGATCACAAGATGATTACACCTTTTTAGCTGATTCCAATTCAGTTTGTATTACACTTAGGTATCTTAACACTGATACTTATCAGCCCACATAACTATTTAGGCATAGTGTTTTGTTTCTATTCAGATAGTACATTCAAACCTATCATGTTAGAAATAATCAAACATTAAGATTCCCTTGAAGGCATGACTTTTCTTTTTAATAAAGAGGCACTAAACGGAACAATTTCTAAATGAAGGAAATCAAAAATAAAGGTTGAATGACTAAAAGTGACGACAACACTGTCTATATACATACTTGATCATTTTATAGGGATTTTCACGGTAAAAAAGACTGTCTTTTAAGATTAATCTTTCGTGTAGAACTAACAAGACGAACTGATGGAACCTTAAGAAGATCGATCCATAGAAAAGCTACTTGGAATGGTCACCTAACAAGCTTCTATAGCTGGGTACCCATTCAACAAGAGCGGAATTTAATTAAATCCCTTGCCACCCACATCTGTAGTCCCGATGTTGTAGAAACAGGATTAGATCTTTTGAAAGAAATCTTCATCGATAAAAATATCAAACCAAGAATTTGGAGAAATGAAACTTCACTTGCGCCGAAAATCTACTCCCTTGGATTTCAAGGGAGATTTAACAAGCGATATTCTCAATAGAAGGATCGCATCATCTCTGAGAAGAACATTCTTTGCAGTAACGCTGAGAATAGTGTTCTCCAGTCGCCCGCTGATCTGCAGAAGCCTTAAGGACAAGATCCCGCAACTGACCACTAGTATGTGCATATATCAGTTCACCTGTTGCTGTACATCGGTCGTTCGATGCGCACCCTGTCCAAGAGGATTCAAGAACACTATCCAGTATGGTCACGAAGCGGCGATAGTGGTGCTATAAGGAGTGTGATAACTGAACACTTGGTGAACACTGATCATTCCATCTCAAGAAACGCCTCCTTCAAAGTAACCTACAGAGTCAAGAATAACCTACTAACGGCAATACGGTTTCGTCTTCTTTGTATTGCTGAAGCTGTCTATTTACATTAAAAACACGGAGCTGTGCATACAGAAGAGAATTACTCAACCAGTCCTACTATCATGGTAACAAATTTGTTGAGTTTTGATGACTTAATCTTGTTTGTTTGCTTGTTTCTTTAATTGCTTATAATTTTTGTATTCATTTAGAACCCTCACGTAATTTCGTATTACATACTTTGTTTCTATGTGCATCCTGAGCACAACCCAATCATCACACTATTCACATTACTGCGTAACTCTTTTTTAACAACTGTTTGTGACAACTCATCACTTTTGTTACTACACTAGTTTCATTAACACTCAATTTTCTTGACCGTTTTTTGTTTTACGCAACTCAACCCGAAACTTACTAATTCTTACCCCTTTAGTTAAAATAACCATAACCAATTGTATTTTTGTCTGACAAACTTAATGTACACATATACACCAAACAACACATATATATTTGCGATAGAACAGCTAAGAAAATGAATTCGCCAGAGAGAGACTCTTCGCTGAACTACGTGTTTTGTTTTCATTATGTTTCTACAAGAAAATTCTGTAAGTAAATTAAATGCATAAGCGTTGGAAGCGTCTTAAAGAAAAACAGGCAAATAGCTCTTTGTAGCTAGATGGATGTACTATGAGAGACTGAATAAGTCGGCAGCTCAATGACATAACGCTTGCTAGCCAAGCACATTGCCTGGGTTGGACTTTCGGCTAACGAACTACTATACCTCGCCTAGCTTGTGCTAAGCCCGGAAAAGAAGGAAGGTTGGACATGAAGCTAGCAACGTCGACCTGCTAAAAGTAACACCATCGCTACTGGTACTTCAAAGCCCAAAGCCTTATGTTTCACTCGAAATGCAAAAAAAAGAAGAAAATGAAACGGCATATTTTTTATAGATATTAGGAGTGGAAATGTCTGACTTCCCGTCGCTCGAATTAACTAAGCCTGAATGTTCGGTCTCTTTTAGCATATTACCAACTATTACGGATACCTTGAGAACGATTTGATGTTAATTGATTGGTACTGGTTATTAAAGGAATCCAGGACAAGCGCTTCTTTACTATGGCTTTGTCGACAGGTATTACACCTGTTGACAAAGCCATTAAACACACTAACAACCTACAAGAATATAATGTAGTTAGTTAGAAACAAATAAAGAGCATGCTACACCATTGAGCCTTACTGTACTTGACATAAGCAATAGAAACATGCTGTTTAAGATGAAAGACCATTTTTTAAAACGAAAATGACAACAAATCTAAATTAGTGTAGACTAAAATCGAAGCCAAATACACAAACATCTAGAATAATATCTCTAAAGAAGTAGAAAATCACGGAAAATCTACCGCAACTTCAAACGATTAAAAATTTAAAACACCACTTGAGTTTATCGTCTACTTGCACTAACAAGACCAAGATATTACGACAGGATTAATTGAAAAGTGTCACCACATAGAGTCGGCAAGTGCAGCATTGCCTTCATCTACAGGTATCTTTAGATTCACGGAGCTTACTATGACTTGTAGGTTCACTTTATATGTTTTGGCTAAGTCCAGAAAGTCTGAAGTCCGTAAAGACTATTATGCAGGCAATAATAACACTAAGTATGAAATGCTAGATCTCAAAACACCATTTAAATAACGGTTAGGGTCGGAATTCGTACTCTATTTAGTTATAAAATCTGTTAGCTTTTAGTTTATGTGATGGTACCCAGCTCTTACCCAGGCCCAGAGCCAACACGCGTCGTCTGGTATTATTTATTCCCAATGGCAATGGAATCAAATCACTGTAACAGTAAAATAGAATTCAAAAGACTACGTAATTAAATTCACGAAGTACACATCTTATTAAGAACTAAGGCATCTTAAACTGCAAGGTTCTGATGAAAAACCCACTTAGAAAATGCACTTTAAAACATACCGTATAGATCCACACAGTGCATTCTTAAGGTACTCTAAGTATGCTGGACCTCATTTTAAATACTGCATGAAAACCCAGAATTCACGCTTCAATGGAGCACAAGCCTTATAAAAAGCACGAAGTGCAAACGTCACGCTAATTTAAAAAGAATCTCGCAACTTCCTGATGGAAAGAGAGAGAGGAAAATCTATGTATCTTTTCATTATCATGCTGTAGGAGTCGTCTTATATTAAATGATGACTTAAATATATTTTCAATATTTTTTTCTCCTCATAAGCCAATACAAAAAGATGAATACACTAAGGTCAGACAAACACAGGTTATATTCAGTAGCTTGAATACGTTAGCCAAAAATCTGGAAATCATTACAGGATAAACAGGTATCGGCTTCAAAGGTAAGATAAAAAGATAACCACAGGCTACCTTAGACCCGGGCTTAAGGTCAGCAAAAGTTATTCGTGCAAGGATAAAGGATACGTGTGTAGAGGAATGCATCACAAAAGAAAATTATCAGGGGAAATTTTCGAGGGAACAAAGTCCTGGCGTAAATCATATTGACTTCTATCCAACTCTGAGAGAAGAAACTATATTTCTGGACTATAAATAGTCAAATTAATATTAAGATATGTGCTTGAAATATTTGAAACAATTAGTTCCTTTTGTGAATCTTGACAAAACAACAAGAAGACGTAATTTATCTAGATCGTGTAATGTATTTGCACAACACATTTCGAACAATCTTTTCACAATACGTATTTGCCATGGGATAAATGAAAATAACAAAGCGTTAAAGAGTGACAGAATAGACATAAATCGTATGCAGGACGTATATTTAAAGCTATCCTATATAGGTGATCATAGCAGTTTGATAACTAGACAAAGTACGAAGGCTGTGGTTAAAAAGACATTTTATGCAGCTAAGATCTGAATAATTGAGAATGTGAACCCCATATATACATCTAAGCACTCAAAAATGATGTCACATCTCACTGTGTCTACCGATTCAAATGCACGTGTGTCCACACTTATACAGGTAGGACTAGTCGACCTTCGCGAATATAGGCTTCACAGAATATCCGTTGGTGGTTTCAGAAACAAGCCGAATTTCTTGGAGCCATGAACAGCGAAAACAGACGACCTACTTGTTCTATTGGAATACACATAGTACAGACAGGAAATAAAACTGATACTTACAGCTCTTTAGAAACTATCAACAAAACGTTTGGTGGGTATTTCAAAGTTTGAAGAATCCCTAGGAATAATGAAGTTTAAGACACCTTTATATGTTCATTATAGCAAACCTCCCTTGGTAATTTTTGTATTTATACCAGAGTACATGCACTATCTACTTTATTCGGTTTACTGATCTCCATTGTTATTTTGGCCTTCATTATGGTCTAATTAGTTTAACCTATGTGTTTCTATGACCCTTCATGTCTTCATTTCCATATACTTAATGACAAGCACACGACTAATCAGATTGTTATAAAAGTCCAACGCGAATACATTAAACTATTCCGAGAAACTACAGAAGACATTTTTTGCATTCTTACACTTTCGTCGACATATAATTAAATATAAAGAATTCCTTACTTATACACTGATATTTCTCATGTTCAAGCGAGACTTAAGAACAAAAAGTGTTTACGAAGCATAAAACACTACTCAAATAAAAACGAAAACAACAAAACACCCACCGAACAGGTGGTAACGCAAAGTCCGTATCTTTGCGCAGCTTTCAATATTCAGCACTCGACCAGTATGAAAAAAAAACTTACTTATTGTCGTCCTCTTCTGGGAGCCAAAACACCAGTCTTTTTAGTGATATGCATAGTTTCATTCACCGAATCACTCTAGTATTTTTTAGAGACGCCGAACAAGTAGTGTTTTTTTTTTGAGATTGGAAAATGTATTCAAACCGTGTCAATTATGTGAGGGAAAGTTTTCTTTTGACTTATTTCTCTTCACATGCAGTCTAATAAATCAAGACAATGACGGCTGCAGACGAGCTGATTTTATAAGAGAGAAACGTGATCAAATTCATAAAGTAAAGGTAAGTGTGTAAATGAAAATTGTGCAAAAGCGTCAGACAACGAATTCTTTGAAAGTGTAAGGGAAAGGATGTGTCGCCTGTTCTTGCGTTTGACTAGGTTAGGATCTTGGTTTCTTTGAGTTAGCGACTGTTTGCCACTTAAGTTCTTCATGTCTAATGATATAGCATCAATAGCCTCAAAAATTATAGGCAAAGGGAAGTGCAGGTTTACTGAATTTCAGCCTTCTGATGAGTGATCTTTCGTTGGTCGCCACACAGTATAGATTTTAGTGACCTGATGTCAGAGTCGTGTCGTATTGTGTAACCATGATAAATTTTGATTTTGTGGGAACTGATTCTGTCACTATTAACCTGACTGTAACAAACTATGGGAAGTCCTTATTTTCTCTATTTTCCATCTCCCGTTTATCTGTGGCTGTCGGCGACCATTTCCGTTGCTGTTTCAAGCTTTCCCTAACGGTTGAAATATCTCTTATAGAACGGTGCAGAGTAGAAGTTAGTTGGATCATGATTAAGTAACAGATGTTAGGCTGTCTAGAAAAGCTCTAGCGTAATGTACCCAGATATCCTTCATTCATCAACGTGAATTGATGTTACAGAGAGGAAATCTTACTGTGAACCATGGATGAATAATGAGAACATCGAGAGTATGAAAAAGTAGTTTTGTGGGGCCTTCATGTTCATGTGACACTAGTGTAATCGAAGGCGTTTCAATTTCATGAAGAAATCTTTGCTATCATTAGAATAATTCTGGTGAACACAACAGAGATTTGGGCTGTAATGTACACAGAATTGCATTCGTCATCGTTGACTAACACATATAGAGCTAAAACGTCACAGCATGCAAACTCGCTTGTTATTTGTCATGCAGCTGGTTCCTCCCACCACAAGAAACAGAGAGTGTCTTTCAGAGTTTGAAAACAGTTAATTACATTAATGTATCCCCGTTTCTCCTTCTTATTAACATCAAACTTCTGTCTGACGAAATTTATAGACTCGATGTAGCACCTTCCACATAAAGTCCATATCCATCATAAGAAGTGAGACAAGGAACTTACCTTTACAGTACTTGCCTACCTCGGTTCGCTATTTTTGTGAAGTCCGATATTGTGGCAACTTAATGGTGCAACCCAGGCGTTATAGGAGTTAAAAACTCATTATGACTTACTACTGAGAGCTGTCATTATGTTTGCCATCTCATGTTAGACCTCTCAGTAAAATATGGTGCAAAACTATCAAATAAGTTCGTGAATGCTGCTTCACTAACCTACACAGTCAAAATTATAAGCTGTCAGTCTTCCTGTTTAGAAATTGTCAACAACGCTGTCATATATTACTGTTGTTGTCAGAAGACAACGATCCAGAACTCAGAAAACTCGTCAGGCACTTAATAACCAAATGGACCTCATTGCGACTGACGAAGACAGACTGGAACGTCGAAGATTTATTACAACTGACAACAAACTAATATATTGAAGTTGGTACTAATGCAGTACAAAGCTAGTCAATCTAAATACACTAAGAAAGTCTGCAAAGAAACTTGAATATAATATGCATCAATATTTCTGACCCTATTGCTGTAATCCTCTGCCAAATAGCCAACGTTAAAGCCGTGGCAGGGACTTTCGCCTCCAGCGAAAATGAAACTAGCTCGAATAGGCAAGGCAACTAGATATTCCTTAAGTGTTCAGCAGTATTGACGTATGTAATGACTTATAAAGGACTGATATGTTACCAACAGTACACTGTATTTCGGATTGTACTCAGAGGTTATCCAAATTTAAACATTAATCATTTTAAATAAAAGTCATGTGCAGTGTCTCTAAATTCAACATCCAACAGAAAGTGTACAATCGCATTGTTACGTACTCCACAGACGTTGTCTGGCAGGGCAATGAAGGCTTTTGAAATAAACTGTTAAGCTCAGATAACACAATCGCATCAAAATCATCCACCTGAGCCACAAATCTTCCCCGTCACATCTAGATTCAGGAATAGAAGCTTTTTGGAAGCAGAGAGTGTGGGCGGTTTTGGTGGTTTCAATTCCATTGATTTTGTAATGAAATGTTATGGGTAGGCATTTTCCAAGAGGATTATTTTCAGAGTGTTTAGCTCCTCTTCTATAGCATCAGCTCTGCTAATGCTGCGGATTCTGTGGCTCAATGAAGGGATCAAGTTTCGTTTTATGTATAGGTGCATCCAACTGTGAAAGTTAGCAGGATTACTGAGATTCCTTCCTTTATCTTACCGTTTATTCTATTCATGAGTATCGAGCTGTCATGTGCGTCGGTGGCACAGTGGTTAGGACTCTCGCCGACCATGCACATGGTCCGGGGTTCGATCTCCTGCCGACGCACACCCGATATCTATGGTCGACCTGTATATTTGGGCTACCGATATCCATGCTGAAAATTCCATACCTGTACTGAAAATACGGTGTGGAATCAAGCTGTAAATCAAAATTAAAATAAAAAATAAAATCTTTCGAGGTAAACGGCACAGTAAGTCTTAGCGCCCCGAATATTTGATATCTACCTATGATTTTATCGAGTTATTATTCCCATTCAATCTCATTCCAGTGTAGTATTCAGATTATGGGTGCTGTTTGTGGAGAACTAATTATCGAACCCAGGAATTATACGAAATAACAAAATTAAGGTCCAAATTAACAAAGATATATAAAAGTATATTACAATTAATAAAGAAACTGAGTTATAACAGAACAGAGTTACTTGCAAGTAGTATTAGGTCTACTTTCACAAATATAGCAATATAATCGAGAGTTAAACCTCGCCTAGATTACTAGCTCGCTAGTTTTCTAGCCGGTCCCATGCCCGGATAAAGAGGGAGGATTGGGGCGTGGTGCTAGCTACAGAAACTTCAACGCACAAATATATTAAAAATTCTAAAAATATAAACAATAACCTTATTTTCTGCTGGAATCGGGGGAGTGAAATGACGCAGGCTGGTGAAAGCCTTCGGGAAGCCAGTCAGCCAATGTGCATTCTTCCGATGAGAGCAAAAATAAGGATGGCAACGTGGAATGTTCGTACAATGTACGAAACTGGAAAGGCTGCTCAGGTAGACGCAAAAATGAGGAGATATGAAATGGAAGTGTTGGGAATCTGTGAGAGCAGATGGAACGGATGTGGAAAGAGCCAACTACCAACTGGAGAGACAATAATCTATTCCGGTCACCCAGAAGACAATCACGAGCACACCGAGGTAGTAGTCATCATGATGTCACCAACAGCAGGCAAAGCTCTCATGCAGTGAGAAGCAATCTCCTCCAGGATAATGACAGCCAGGTTCAACTCAAAAGGAAGGAAGGTTACAATCATTCAATGCTATGCGCCTACAAACGTCTCAGAACAAGAGAAGAAGGAGGCCTTCTACAGACAACTACAAGCAGCAATGGACAAAGTCCCAAAGAGCGATATCAAAATCCTGATGGGTGATATGAATGCGAAGTTGGGAGGAGACAATACAGGAAGAGAACTCACCATGGGTCGCGAGGCCGTCGGTGAAATGAACGAAAATGGTGAACTCTTCTCAGACTTCTGCGCATTCAATGATTTGGTGATTGTTGGCAGTGTGTTCAAACACAAGGACATACACAAGGCAACATGGATCTCGCCAGATAGACACACCAAAAACCAGATAGACTTCATTTCAATCTCAAGGAAGTGGAGACGGAGCCTACTGGACACAAGGTCGAGGAGAGGAGCAGGTGTGGGTTCAGACCACTATCTAGTACAAGGGACTTTCAAGGTGAAGCTAAAAGCCTCGAGAATAGCTGGGGATAGGCCACAATGCAAGTTCAACACGCAAAAACTGAAGGACACAATCACACAGGACGTTTTCGCTGCGACTGTCAGAGCAAAACAGGAAACACTACGTGACATCACGGAAGAATCATGCGTGGAAGACCATTGGAACTCTCTGAAGGTGATTTTCAACGAAACGTGTTCAACGGTTTTAGGAAGAAAGAAGAGACAAGACAAGGAATGGCTCTCAACGGACACTTGGAAACTAATAGAGGAGAGAAGAATAGTGAAAGAGAAAATGATTCAATGCAAAGACGGACAAGAGAGAGATGCTGAGCTCAACTTACACAACACTGGACAAAGAAGTGAAGAAGAGTGCCAGGAAGGACAAAAGACAATTCTACGACAACCTGGCTACTGAAGCTGAGAAGGCAGCAGGCAAAAGGGACCTGAAGACATTATATCAGATAACCAAGTCCCTATCCAGTAAGAGATCAACACAAGTGAAACCTATAAAAGACAGCCAAGGGAACCCAATTACCAAGGAAGAAAGACAGATTAAACAATGGGTGGACCACTTCAGAGGACTCTTGAACCGACCACCACCTACAACCAGTCCAGAAATACCAACAACAGCACGTACACAACTGCAAGTTGACACCAATCCTCCAACGAAAGCTGAAGTCTTGAATCCAATCAAGCTTCTGAAATCTGGAAAAGCAGCTGGACCAGATGGAATACTCCCGGAAGCACTGAAAGCGGACCCAGAAACGACGGCAGATATGCTGACTCTATTATTGCAAAAGATCTGGAAAGAGGGAAAGGTGCCTACTGACTGGAGGAAAGGTTACCTGGTGAAACTACTAAAGAAGGGCGACCTAGGACTCTGCAAGAACTGGCGAGGAATCATGCTCC